TCCACGAGTCATAAAAGAGCCAAGGTTGCCTACCCCTGGTCTAGATAAAGCCCTATCATTAAAGCTAGGGATGGCAGAAGCAACTATGGGAAAGTGAATAATCTCTTTAAAAGCTGTATGAAAAATTTCAAAAATACATTGCAAGGAGAGAGAAAATCCAAAGGCTTAGAGTACTGTATTAGACAATCTGTAGACTTTGATTAGTTATTAGCTATAATGGCTAAAATTGAATTTCCATAAGCAAAGCATCTGTTTATTAGACATGAAGAACAGACAGGGAAGTGTATTCCTCTTGTGCATTTCTATAGAGCAAGCAGTGAGTTGCTCTTTTGAACAAGGCTTTTCCTGCATTCTTGAGAAAATATCTGCCTGGATACCTGTCCCTCTATCTGCCATTTATACTTTTGTTTCTTCATTGCCCTATTCATTGAAAGAAGTACTCAGCCTGAGAGAATTGTTTTGCCCTATCAAAACATAAGTTATTGACTGAAATTATATCATAACATTATACTAATCTGGAGCTGTCTTTCATGACAAGTGAAGAAATTTGCTTAAAACGGGCTGCTCTGCTTAGGACTGAATTGTATTTTATAAGTTGCAGGCTACTGTTCCAGAGTACTTTCTTCAAAGGATACAGAATACAGCTGTTAATTGTATTTTGCCAGATTATGTTGCATTTCTTTTAGTCAACACAGGAATCTAAATGGGTCAGCTGGGGACCGAGGGAGCCACCGAAATAACCATCAAGAGCAGATCAGGAAGGACCCTTATGCTAATCTTATGCTGCAACGGGAGAAGGATTGGGTATCCAAGATTCAAATGATGCAACTGCAAAGCACTGATCCCTATTTAGATGACTTCTACTATCAGGTTGGTGTTCTATGTATTTGAACAAGTGACTGTTCATTCTATAGCCCCTGGCTATGCCTAATGGAAGACGCAGCCAGTAGCATCTGAAGAGTGCTTGGATAGATAAGAAAGTGACAAAAACAGATGCAATGTGTGGGGGTGGTGGAGGGGAATTGTTCTGTTCTGCTTTTATTCCTCTTCGCCTTGCAGGCCATTTATACAAAGTTTCTTCTTTGTTGTTTGGGTGGGACAGTGGATTCTCATCTTGTTCAAAAAATAGGGCAAACTCATGATGTTCAAGCTGGCTTCTAATTAACTTTTCAATGCCTTAGAACTATTTTCAGAAACTAGAAAAACTGTCTGCAGCTGAGGAGATGCATGGTGATGGTCCTAAAAAGGAACGCACTAAACTAATCACCCCACAAGTGGCGAAACTAGAGCATGCCTATAAGCCAGGTAAGTTTCTGTTGTATAGGAAAAGGCTAGTCTATAACATGTTTCCCCAAAGATAAGACCTACCCTGAAAATAAGCCCTAGCTTGATTTTTACACATGCACCCTACCCCAAAAATAAGCCCTTCTTAAGACCCCGCCTACTCCAGTGCACCTGGTTGCACGAGGTGGGGTGAGGCGCACGGTCAAAAATCAAGCTATGGCAGGGATGGGGGTGGACCTGCCCCATGTGCCCTGCACCCACTTACCTTAGGACAGTTGCAGCCATGCCTCCCACGTCCCACCACCTGCCTCACCTCACCAGCCCACTTCTTCTGCGGCCGCTTGCTATCACTTGCACGTGTCGTCCTCAGCCTCCATTTCACTGTCAGAGCCTTCCAGAAAGGCCTCGGCAGCCAAGAAATGACCTCCGGATTGATGCACGTGGTGCCCCCTGGCCTCCGTTTCGCCATCAGAGGCCTTCTGGAAAGGCCTCTGCAGCTGAGAAACTAGGTCCAGATTGACTTGTGCAGTGCCCCCTGGCCTCAGTTTTGCTGTCCGGAAGCTCATTTCTCAGCTGCAGAGGCCTTTCTGGAAGGCCTTTGATGGCAAAACAGAGGCCGGGGACGACGCGCGCAAGTAACAGCGAGCGGCCGCAGAAGAAGTGGGCAAGCAAAGCAGGTGTCAGCATGGGAGGCCTGGCTGCAGCGGTCCTAAGGTAACCAAGTAAAACATTCCCCAAAAATAAGACCTGGTGCCTCTTTTGGAAGCAAAAAAAATATAAGACCGGGTCTTATTTTTGGGAAACACAATATATGCAGTGCGTGGGAGATAAAATACAGAAGTTCATGAATGGAATGGAGGGGGATTGAGATATCACAGCTAAGGTAATTTATTTTCAGACAGATCTGCAAGTAGAAAATTTATGCATTGGACACAGGAAAGATGTGCTTCTTACTATTTTCCTTGCTTCCTGTGTTCAGGAAAAATATTCCTCTCCTCATGGACACACATGGTGTTTAATTTTATTCCAGTGTACAGTAGTTCTACAATTCTACTGCAGTAGGTTTAGCATAATATTGTAGAGGCAGTAAAGGAAAGCAAGCGTATGCATACCAAGAATAGAAGGATTTTATAGGGATAGACAGATACAAGCTGTTAGTGAAGTCAAAATGGAGCCGCCTTGTCCATGCTTTGCTTTATTTAGCTGACTTGCAGAAAGACTAGAACATTAAAAGTGCATGTGAAGATCGTAGAGTTGTCAGACTGACAGTTTTGACTCATCAGACCCATCTGCATTGTTTTTCTTCCATACTTGCAGTGCAGTTTGAGGGCTCGCTAGGGAAGCTGACCGTATCCAGTGTGAACAACCCCCGCAAAATGATAGATGCTATTGTGACTTTAAGAGGAGAGGAAGATGTAAGTTTCTCTTGTGACAATTACTTTGTCTTTGAGTTGGTGTTTTGTCTTACTATTTCATGTTTTTCCTTTCAAATATGAGAAGGGGATTTTTGAATTTTCTTCTCAGGTTGTGGGAGAGAAAATTTCTGAATAATGTTATGTCCATTCAGCTGTAATTTCTATCTCTTCCTTAGGAAACTAAGGAGAAGCAGGTTCGAGATAAAAGGCGCCAGACTCTCTTCACTATTGAAAAAGTGAGTTTGGCATCCATTCTTCATCCAGCAGCAGATGGTAACAATAGCAGATTAATTGAAATCTGCTTTTCGAAGATATAAATGTAATATTAGAAAATCAATAAAATTTTCAAAAAAAAATATGAAATCAGTTCCATAGTGCAAAACAACATGAGTACTGACTTGAATTAAGATACGATTTCAACAATAGTCTCCTTGAAGAGCATCCTTCCAATAGCTTAACCATAATTTTTCGTTTGTTGAATCAACTTTGTTCTTACTGTGTTTCTAAATAAGTGAAATGAGCTTAAACAAATAGACTAGCTTACCAAGCCAGATGCTTGCTGTATAAATCAGAAATCTGTTCCTTATTTACTGTCAATAAAGCATGAACTTGATTTATCAGTTCAAACCCATTTTCAAATTTTGGAAGTGTTGGAATGTTAGATGGCATGCCTAAAATCTGTGCGTTGCTACCTAGACCTATAGCCTCCTCCTGGATGTAGAAGACTATGAGAGACGCTACCTTTTGAGTTTGGAAGGGGACAGGTTGGCCTTGATGGAGGAGAGAAAGCAGAAAATCTGTGACATGTATGACAATCTGAGGGGAAAGGTGCCCAATCAAGAAAGGTAAGAGCCTACCTGGCAGAATACCAACAATTCAATAAAGAAAATGCTGTTTTGAATTCTTTTCTAATGAAAGGAACTTATCTGTTTAGTAGAGATTCCTTGTATCAGAAAGTACAAGAACATGTAATAATTTGGGGGTTTGTTTCCCCCTTTTTCCTCCTATCTTCCACCATGCTTTACTACTATTATTTTGGGACTTATGCTTAATGCTGCTGCCATAACAATTGTAACAACTCCTCCCAGTTTGTCACTTCTCAAAAGAGAGCTGAATGTATCTTTCAAATCACTTAATTGCTAGCTCAGCTTACAATGATCAGTTAAATAAAAGCAAAAAAAAGTGACATTTGACATTAATATGGCCAACACAACTCCCAGTGATAGTTTATTTGACTTTATTAGCTACCCAACTCCAATGGACTCTGGAAAGTGTACAAAACTAGAAAGAACATAAAAACATAAAAAGGTCAAATCAGATACACAGTCCAGACTAAAATCTTTTCCATACCTCTCTATTGTGTTTCAGGATGGGTTTGCATAGATCCATACATTTACCATTAAAAAAATTCATGCTGTAAATTCAAAAATTATTCCAAGATCCTGAGTTCTGCTTGCTTTACTTGGAAAATATGAAGACTGTTACATGTTACATGTTTGGTTTCTGTCTAACTGATAGTTATATATCCTCTTCCATCAGACTTAGTGATGACGCTTTTGTGCAGATTATGTGTATACGTAAAGGAAAACATCTCGTTGCACGGATCCTACCTTTCTTGTCCAGTGAACAAGCAGCTGAGATACTAATGGCAACAGCCAGAAATTTGCCCTTTCTAATCAAGAAAGATGCTCAAGATGAGGTAAACGTAACCTGAAGAAAAAAAATATGATGATGGTGATGGTAATGATGTCATGTGCCTCACATAAAGCAGCTGTGGGTGGCTAGAACAATAAAAACATCAAAACAAAATACAAAAATAAAAACTAATGAGAAGAAAGTCCACAGAAGTCAAACAACAAATTCACACAACTCATGATTCAACCACCTCCTGTGTCTGAGAGAAAAGCCAGATCTTGCGGAAGGCCCACAGGCTTGAGACTGATCTAATTTTTGGAGGAATGGTGTCATTGAAGTATTTTTCCATAACAAATTGTTCAGATGTTTGGGATAAGCTTTGTGTCCCCTGGATATTTTAGATTACAACTTCCATAATCATTGCTATCCAAGAAAATTCTGTCCCAGACATCTAAAGGACACCATTGTGGTTATTCATAATCCTGAATTTTATCATTCAGAAATTTCTTTGTGCATTTTCAGGTATTCTCTTGAGAAATGAAAAGAAACTTTCTGTATTTTAGATTTGTTGCTACTGAGAATTTACTGAGATGTTTCACTGTTATAATATATACATGGAAATAATAGTTGGACTTATATTTGAATGAAACTACCTAGAATATTTGTATTAAATATACTATTAAAGCTTTTGAGCTCATTTAATCCAGAAGGACTGTAGTCCAAAAGATAGCTACCCATGAAAGTGGCAGGATTCATTAATGACATTGGTTTGAATGAAAATTTAATAACCTTGCTATAATTTCATTCCATTTGTAATATAGTTTAATTTTCCAGTAACCACTTCCACTGAAATTTACTGTTTATTTACCATTGTTTAGCAAATAAAAATGTGTCATGATTTCTACTAGATTAAAAAAAATTAGAAATCGCTGTGGTACTCTAGATTTGTTCCAGGCCATCTCTTTGTGTGGTGTGTGTATTGTCTAAGTAACATGTGTTTTTAACA